CAGGAACTGTATAGACTAGGTATGAGGCCAGTTTTCTCAAGGGGATTTTATTGTCTCTATAAGTCAACTTTGATTCCTTAAAGGAGTCTGTATCTCAAAGCAAGCCATTTCAGTTAAAGCCTTGGTAAAATAACCAGTGTTTCCAATTTTGTCCTGTTAGAAAAGAAAACAGATTCATATTGCACTTGTGCAAAAAACTATATTGCTATAAATTAAGAATACTCTACAAATGGTTTCCAAATTTTGGAGAAATTCAGTAGAGAGAAATATGCTCCAAATTTTGTTTATAGGAGAATTCTATACTCAATTTTTAAAAGCTGTAAATAGCTCAAAAAACTTGTTTTTGGCTTTGAAAAACAAAACAAAGGGTTAGCAATTCTTTAAGCAAAAAGTCATAAAAGGATTGTTTTAGTCTTCCATTAGTTCAGTTCATGTAGTTAACTCCTGTTCTGCTTCATATTCATGAACATTTCAGCTCTCCATGAGAGTCCTGAAAGTTTTTTTCTTCTATTCTAATGTCACAATCTCCAAAGTTATTGGAAACCCGTATTTAAGAGCACATGTTAGAGTCCTATAGCTGATTATAAAACTACCTTTTATTTATTTATTTACTTATTTATTTGAGATGGAGTTTCACTCCTGTTGCCCAGTCTGGAGTGCAATGGCATAATCTTGGCTCACTGCAACCTCCACCTCCTGGGTTCAAGTAATTCTCCTGCTTCAGCCTCCCAAGTAGCTGGGATTAGAGGCATGTGGCACCACACCTGGTTAATTTTTGTATTTTTAGTAGAGACAGGGTTTCTCCATATTGGTCAGGCTGATCTTGAACTCCCGACCTCAGGTGGTCTGCCTGCCTTTACCTCCCAAAGTGCTGGGATTACAAGCGTGAGCCACAATGCCTGCCTGTTAAACCCATTTTTGAGCTACTTGGTATTTTCTATTTATGGAATGTGCCAAAAGAAAAAAATGCTACCATAAAAGGCTCCCCTAAAACTTCAGTGAAACCTGGTCCAGGTCTTAGACCCTCACGTGGTATAGTGTATACCAATCCAATTCTATCCTGTCTTATAACTTTAAGACATAAGAGGTTTTCTAAGTGAAGCTTTGGGCTCAAACAAGTGTAAATTCACTGAGGCACTTCCACTTGAAGGCTTGTTTTCTGATTTTCTCATATTTGCCTCTAGGGTAGTGGGCCTCATTTTGGTTACTGATGTTTACATTCCTTTCTTTTGATGTCATGTTGAGTCACTAAGTAATTATCATCAAAGGACCAAGGAGCGGCCAGTGGACATTAACATCGCAGAAAAGGACTTGTACATGATTTTGGACTTTACACTGAGGCATTATCCTTCCACTTTCCTTATCCCCACAGTTTCTCATCTTTTGAAGCAGCCATTTCTACCCTAGCTCCCTAGGCCTCACAGTCCCCTGGTGGCCCCAAGTATACTCAATACTAGAGTCCTATTTGTAGGATTTGGGGCAGAAAGGGATCAGAAGTAGCACAGGGCCTGGAGAACTATCTCTCTATGCTCAGATTTCCTCCTGCCTTGTCTCAGGTCTGGAGAATCAATACTGTCTTTTTTGGCTCAGGTGCTGGTTGCTCACAGAGTCTTCAGGGTTCACCTCTCCTCAGAGCTTCTGTGCTACTCCTCCCATCCTTTATTTTCTAGAATTATATTTTCAAAAGGTTTCTCATTGGTTTTGTCCTTTTAAAAATTTGAGGCCAGGCGCAGTGGTTCATGCCTGTAATCCCAGCACTTTGGGAGGCCGAAGTGGGTGGATCACCTAAGGTCGGGAGTTCGAGACCAGCCTGGCCAGCACGGTGAAACCCTGTCTCTACTAGAAAAAAAAATACAAAATATTAGCTGGATGTGGTGGTGAGCACCTAAAATCCCAGCTACTCAGGAAGCTGAGGCAGAAGAATCACTTGAACCCGGGAGGCGGAGGTTGCAGTAAGCTGAGATTGCGTCATTGCACTCCAACCTGGGCAACAGAGTGAAACTTGGTCTTAAAACAACAACAAAAAAAATCGATATTGGCTGGGCATGATGGCTCACGCCTATAATCCCAGCACTTAGGGAGGCCGAGGCAGGTGGATCTCCTGAGGTCAGGAGTTCAAGACCAGCCTGGCCAACATCATGAAAGCGCATCTCTACTAAAAATACAAAAATTAGCCAGGTGCGGTGGTGGGTGCCTGTAATTCCAGCTACTCGGGAGGCTGAGGCAGGAAAATTGCTTGAAACTGGGAGGCAGAGGTTGCAGTGAGCCAAGATTGTACCATTTCACTTCAGCCTGAGCAAAAAAGCAAGACTCTGTCTCAAAAAAAAAAAAAAAAAAGATAAAAATAAAAATCTGATATTTTAGCTACTTCTTGAGTTTTGTGGCATAATTTTGAACTTCTGCCAAACTCATTTTGAGTCCCATGACATTGTCCATGTATTGAGTTGTGCCAATAGAAACAAACGCTGTCATATAGGTCCCCCCTAAAACCAGTCAAATCTGGTCCAGATCAGACCCTGGCAACTCCTGCTGTCACTGGATCTCAGTGAGGCCTTTGCACCCATTCCCTCCCCTTGTGATTCATCCATGGACATCCCCTCCATTGATTTGAAAACTATCTCAGCAATATTCCTCGCCTTCTTCCACCTCCAGCCAATCTCTCACTCCATCCCACCTGCCTGTTGTTCTTCCTTATGGAATAAAGAAATGTCCCACACTTTAGAGATTTAAAAAAAACTGGAGCTCAGAGAGGGTGGACTTGTCAAGATCACACAGAGCTGGGCATGTGGTAAACCCTTGAAAATGGGTCTCAACAACAAGGCTCCCTTCCAGAGATTCCTAATGTCTGAGAGTCCCAAAGAGCTGGGCTGAACCCAGGGCCCAAGAATGGCTGTCTGGCTCTACCACTTCCAAAATCACACCCAGTGCACATGGCCTGAGGCTTCCATGGTGATGTTAAAGAAACCTCCCCTGCTGCCTCTCCCAATCCTGCCGAGTCCCCTCTCATCTTATTCATGCTCAATGTGCAGATGTGATCAATAGAATCAAAGGGAAATGGAGCCCTGAGGGGAGGGCCAGACTCTTGGAGGAGAAGGGTTGGAGTCAAACCGGGGGCTCTGCAGCTCTGAGTGCAGGCGCTTCAAACCTTAAGAGCTCGACAGCAGTGTGAAATGGAATCGGGGGGAATGAGGTCCAAGTTTATGTTGGGAAGAATATAAGCATGATTTGGAGACTCCTGATGTTCATGCGTCCCCCAAAAGTAGAGCTGGGAGCCACTGGATTGGTGCTAGAAGTTCATGTGGGAACAGGGCAGACCCTTGGATACATGTGGGGTCTCCCAGGCACCGCAGGTGTTTCAGTAGAGGCCCTAACACTGTGGTGGGGACAGCGCCAAAGAACTCCAGCATGTATTTTATCAGGGTTTTAACATAAATATCAGTTATGGAGAAAATCGGCACCATGAGTTAAAATCTCATGTAATCTTCTGTAAGATGCTATACATGTGGAAAACTAAGTGAAGTGTCAAATTAGTTTGCACCAAATTGCTGCAACAAATTACCAATGCAGCAATCCTGCATAGCTATAAGGGTTCAGGGAACAGAGGCGGTCATCGTCACCCTGGGAGAAGGAGACAGCACAGAAGAAGGTCTGTGACTCAGCTCAAAGACAGGAAAATGGTTTTGTGGGCAGGCAATGAGGAAAGGGGGACAGAGTTGCTGTTTCCTGAGATAAAGCCTCTGAGGTGTTTTTTGACTACTTGATTGTTCCCTGTGAATGTATAACTTCGATTTTAAAAATAAATAGAAAAGAGCCTCTTTCCTGACACCACCCAATCTCTGAGCCCCACAGACGATGTTCTGGTTTCTTGCAGGAGGTTCTGCTCCCACCCGCCTGCTCCCTTCTAAGACAACCCCACCAGCAAGGAGGTCTTCTAGTTCTTTCTGTAAGTGTTCTGTTGCTGGTCCTGATTTGGGCCCCTGGGGCCCAGGAACCTCTGGGTTCTCTCAGCTATACTTCCATCCATGGTCCCCAACCTCAGTGCCCAGGACGCTGTGGCTGACCTCCTGGAGGGAGTGCGGCTCCTCACAGGTATCCACTGTGTAGTACATCAGGCCAGGTCTCCTGCGGCAGCTCTCCTCTAATGACCGAGTATGGTGGGGATGCTAAGGCCAGGCCGGTTGCCCGGACCTTCTTTTTTGCCTGTTTCAAAGACTCAGCGAAGGCTCTGTGGATTTTCCTCAGAACTGTGGTCCGGAGCGCTCCCACCTCTCCTCTTCCCCTCTCTCCCTCACATTGGGAGTGAGACTTGCTTCATGGTCTGGTGGTTCTCCCAGTCTTTTGTAACTCTTTTCACAAAGGTATGTCCCCTGCTAAAACCCTTGCAATTTAATCCTGCCTTGGTGTCTGCTTCTCAGAGTAGCTGGAAAACAGACTCCAAACCTTCTTCTCCCGGTCCCTGCAGCCCCTGTGGTGGGGTTGACTGTGGGTGACCACAGAACCAGCCTGACCTTGTCCAAACCACAGGCTGCTGCTTCACAAGGCCTGACCCCACTAAGAACTGTGTTTCTCCATGTTTCTGCTGTTCATATCCAGTGCATCTAGGTTACTTTTTTCTTTCTTTCTTTTTTTTTTTTTTTTTTGAGATGGAGATTCGCTCTTGTTGCCCAGACTGGAGTGCAATAGCGTGATCTCAGCTCACTGCAAATTCTGCCTCCCAGGTTCAAGCAATTCTCCTATCTCAGTCTCTCGAGTAGTTGGAATTACAGTCATGTGCCACCATGTCTGGCTAATTTTGTATTTTTAGTAGAGACAGTGTTTCTCCATGTTGGTCAGGCTGGTCTCAAACTCCTGACCTCAGGTGATCCACCCGCCTTGGCCTCCCAAAGTGCTGGGATTACAGGCGTGAGCCACCATGCCTGGCCCTTTTTTTTTTTTTCTTTTTTAAGTAGAGACAGGGTTTTGCCATGTTGCCCAGGCTGTTCTGGAACTCCTGAGCTCAAGCGGTCCTCCCACCTTGGCCCCCCAAAGTGCTGAGATTACAGATGTGAGCCACCACACCCAGCCTGAACTACCAATCTTGATGGCAACGTTAGATTGGGGGGCCTCTGTGGTCATAACAGTGGTGGACCAGACAGCAGAGTCTTGTCTTCAGTACCATGGAAACCCCGGCCTCCAGCGCTAGCAGGTGTTTTAGAATGAAGGGTCAGATGCTTGAGAGGGCGACCCCAATCCTCTGCCCCTCCCTGCAGCTTCTGGGAAGGCCTCCTGCGTTTTTCATCGCCTCTAGCAGCGTCTTGAAACAGCCGGCTCTGGAAGGCATCCTGATGGTGGGGTCAAGAGCTTTGCTTAGATTTCCGCATGAAGGTATGCAATGCAAATGCCACCTTTTCTGAGCTATGGTTTCGTTTTCTGCTGCAAACTTGGGACGTTTACTGAGGGACACTGAATAGCTGGGGGTGGGTGGGGTGAGGGAGGCAGGGGCTAGAAGGAAGGAAGGATTGTAGCAGGCAGGCTCTCTGGGACAGGGCATAGGACAGAGACAGCTCCAGGAGGATTTCACAGGAGAGAATGAGGGGTGGGACGTAGTGATGTCACAAGAGTCCCATTATGACCCCTCCCCCATCATTGGAGCTAGGACTGGCTAAGCCTGAGCAAGGGTGGGGGAAATAAATAAGGCACTGTTGCTAGGGCCTGAGCCCAGCAGAGAAAGGCTGTGTGCAGAGGGAGGGCCTCGGGTCCTGCTGCTCCTCCTGGACTCCTTCATCCCAATCCCTTCACATCCTCCTCTAACAAGGACTCCCACATCCCTCCCCGGCTAACTTGGATCCTGCTCAACGCAACACCTGCCTTTCCTGAGTCCCTGGGTTCCTGCAGGCCTCGGGGCCCCACAGTTATATCTGCTGTTCCTGCAGGTCAATGGCCAGGGTTGGGGTGGGTGGGGGTGCAGAGGAAACCTCTTGAAAGGGGCAGGGCACAGATGGGGCCTCCACCAATCTTGCTGGATGAGGACTTCCCACCATCCTGGAATCCTCTCCTGGGTCTCCAGTTGACCACCCTCCTGCTTCCACCTTTTTCCTTGTTTTGGTCCTGCTGTTGGGTTTCTGTAAAAATCCGCCTGCCTCCAGTCTCCCCTGATGATCAGTTCCTGCCTGGGGTCGCCAGGTTGCTTCAAATTGGGATGACCATGGTAGGGATGGTGACTTGAGATTCCTGGGCCATAATGCAGGTGAGAAATGTACCCTAAGAGTGAAAAGGAACAGTGTCACTGCTGGGTCATTTTGAAGATGGGACTTAGGCAACACATGTCCCTTAAATCCAGTCCATGAGGGTACCACAAATACCACATTTTTTTCAAATTCTAGCAGAGAGGTTGTACTGGGTTGAGAGAGAGGTCTCAGAATCAAGACCTTGTCTCCTGCCACCGTTTACCCTGGTGAAGCTCCCAGGCCAAGCACAAACTTCCAGGTCGAACACAAACAGCCTTCAGCCGTCAGAGAGGAGGTGGCACTAACGCTCTAAGCAGGCGGCTGCTCTGTAGTCTTCTGCTGCCTGGAGAGGTTGCCTCCATCACTGGTGCCCACCTGAGGAATACTCAGTAACTACTCTTCAAAGGTACACTCAGATGCCCACTCTGCAAAGCCATTTTGTTTCCTTAATGTACCTCTGAAATCATTTGTTAACAAAGCGTTTATAATTCCACCTGTTTTCTGTATGTGGCATATCTATAGACAGAGTGAAAAACAAGGGCAAGACTCGATTCCTTTTCTTTCTCGTTTGCTTTCTTGCTTGCTTGCTTTCTTTTTTTTTTTTTTTTTTTTTTTTTTTTTTTTTTTTTTTTTGAGACAGAGTTTTGCTCTTGTTGCCCAGGCTGGAGTGCAATGGTGCAATCTCAGCTCACTGCAACCTCCGCCTCCAGGGTTCAACCAGTTCTCCTGTTTCGGCCCCCCAAGTAGCTGGGATTACAGGCTCATGCCACCATGTCTGGCTAATTTTTGTATTTTTAGTAGAGACGGGGTTTCATCGTATTGGTCAGGCTGGTCTCGAACTCCTGACCTCAGGTGATCCAGCTGCTTCAGCCTCCCAAAGTGCTGGAATTACTGGTGTGAGCCACTGCGCCTTTTCTTAGGGAGCTCACAGTTCACTGGATGAGAGAAGGAAGCTGATTCTGAAAGGAAACAGGGTGTGGTAAAGATGGGGCAGAGGGGTGAGCACAGAGGGGATCAAGAGAAGGGGGAGAAAGACCACTGTCATCGGTGCAGCCTTTCTGGGGAGCAATGTGTGAGCTGAGCTTTGTAAAGAAATGAGGTTTTAATGCGTGTGGGAGGAGAGCCCTCCTGAGATGTATGGAGAGACCAACGCCCCTCTTCCCTGCCGCTCCCCCTCCTGCAGCTGTTCCCTTCTTCCTTCCGTCCCTGCTCAGCAGTCACAGCAACTCTCCAAATCATGATGCTCAAAATGCCACATCTAAAAAGAACATCTGGGTAGGTGCCTCTGCTTCTTCTGACTTGGCCTCCCTTCCCTGCCCTCTTGGTCTCATATAGTTCTTTCCATTCACTCAATCTCCACACTCCCTCGACAGCAGATGAAAACATTTGGTCTCTGAATCCCCGTCTGCTTGTGTGTGATTTGTATCCTCTGTGAGTCAACAAGGTGAACATATTCCTCATTTGGTTGCGGGATTTTTAAAAAACGTCTCCAACAGGTTCTGCCCCTAAGAAAGTAAATTCATGTGCCTACAAAGAGAAAGGAAAGGGACAGCCATCCACCTTTTGACTCCTGAGTTTCCATCTGCACCCTTCAATACTTATTAGGACTTACATGAAACTATGTGACAACTTTTTATTTCTATTAAACAAAATACAACTTTCTTCCTTGTATCTGAAGAAGTTGGCATCCTCTACGCAGAATAGGAGACGCACAGTTCCAACAGTTATTGTATACATCCCTGACCATGTTAATGACTCCACAAAATCAATCACGGGTCCACCAAATATTCTGTTGAAGATTAAATTATAAAATTGAACTCCAGCAACGTGCATACGCAGTTAATAAACCCAGGGAAAAGATCAAAATGGGACCTATATGAAAATTTTAAAACTTTTTATTTATTCTGTTTCTCATGCTTGCTGAGGCTGGAGTACAGTGGTGTGATCTCTGCTCACTGCAGTCTCCACCTCTGGGGTTCAAGCAATTCTCCTGCCTCAGCCTCCTGCATAGCTGGGACAAGTGCCTGCCACCATTCCTGGTTAATTTTTGTATTTTTAGTAGAGACGGGGTTTCTACTAAACCCCATGTTGGCCAGGCTGGTCTTGACTCCTGGCCTTAAGTGATCTACCTGCCTTGGCCTAACAAAGTGCTGGGATTGCAGGAGAATGAGCCATCAGACCCAGCTTTTTTTTTTTTTTTTTCCTTGAGACAGGGTCCCACTGTGTCATCCAGGCTGGAGTACAGTGGCTCAATCATGGCTCAATCTAGACTGGACTTCCTGGGCTCAAGTGATCCTCCCACCTTAGTCTCCAGACTAGCTGGTACTAGTGTTCACACTGTACACAAAAATTAATTCAAAATGCATCAAAAACTTAAATATAAGAACTAATTATAAAGCTTTTTGAAGAAAACATAGATAAACGTAGATAAGTCTTTGTGACTTTGGATTAGGAAGCAATTTTTTTTTTTTTTTTAGATGGAGTTTTGCTCTTGTTGCCCAGGCTGGAGTGCAATGGCACGATCTCGGCTCACCACAAGCTCTGCCTTACGGGTTCAAGCAATTCTCCTGCCTCAGCCTCCCAAGTAACTGGGATTATAGGCATGTGCCACCATGCCTGGCTAATTTTGTATTTTTAGTCGAGACGAGGTTTCTCCACGTTGGTCAGGCTGGTCTCCAATTCCCGACCTCAGGTGATGTGTCCACCTTGGCCTCCCAAAGTGCTAGGATTACAGGCATGAGCCACCGCACCCGGCCACGATTTCTTAAATATGACACCAAAAGTAAAAGTGGCTGAGCATGGTGGGTCACACCTGTAATCCCAGCAATTTGGGAGGCCAAAGCGGGAGGATCCCAGGAGTTTGGACCAGTCTGGGCAACATAAGGGGACCCTGTGTCTACAAAACAAAATAAAAAATTTAGGTGTGGTGGCGTGTGCCTTCAGTCCCTGCTACTCCAGCTACTCTGGAGGCTGACGAGGGAGGATCACTTAAGCTGAGGAGTTCTAAGCTGCAGTAAGCCATGATTGCACCACTGCACTCCAGCCTGTGTGACAGAATGAGACCCTGTCTCAAAAAAAAAAAAAAAAGAAAAAGAAAAAAAGAAAAAAAGTACAAGTGACAAAAACAAAATTGGACTTCACCAAAATTTAAAAAATTTGACTTCAAAGACCACCACCCAGAAAGTAAAAAGACAAGCCATAGGATGGGAGAAAAACCTGGCAACTTGTTTATCTCATAAGGGACTTGTATCAGAATACACAGGTAACTCTTACAACTCAACAAAAGGAAAATAACCCAAGTGAAAAATGAGTGAAAAATTTGCACGGACATTTCTCCAAAGATAATATACAAATTGCTAATAATCACATGACATGATGCTCAATACCATTAGTCATTAGGGAAAGGCAAATCAAACGCACAATGAGATGCCACCTTATACCCTTATGTGATAAAAATCTACAGACAAGAACAGGTGTTGGCAAGGATGGAGGAAAAAACCCTCATCACTGGTGGTGGGAATGTGGAATGGTGCAGCCACTTTAGAAAACAGGTTGGCAGCCAGGTGCGGTGTCTCATGCCTGGAATCCCAGCAATTGGGAGGCCAAGATGGGCAGATTGCCTGAGGTCAGGAGTTCGAGAGCAGCCTGGGCAACATGATGAAACCCTGTCTCTATAAAAACAAAACAAATAAACAAAAAGTTCTGCAGGCATGGTGGCGTGTTCCTGTAGTCTCAGCTACTTAGGGAGCTGAGACTGGAGGGTCACTTGAGTCCAGGAGGTCGATGCTGCAGTGAGTGGTGGTTGTGCCACTGCACTCCAGCCTCGTTGACAGAGTGAGACCCCGTCTCTGAAAAAAGAAGAGGGAAAACAGGTTGGTAATTCCTCTCAAAAATTAAACAGAGTTATACTTTGACCGAGAAATTATACTCCTACATGTATAAGCAGAAATGAAAACATAAATCTACACAATCTTGTACAAAAATGCTCATAGCAGCTTTATTCATAATAAACAAAAGTGGAAACAGTTCAAAAGTCCATCAGCTGATGACTGGATAAATATCGTATATGCATACAAGGGAATATTTTTCAGTAAAAAAAACTAAGTTCTGGGCCAGGTGAGGCATCTCATGCCTGTAATATGGATGCTTGCACCTGTGCTTAGGTATTGCACAGGCTGAAGGAGGAGGATGGTTTCACCTCAAGAGTTCAAGGCCAGACTGGACAACATAGCAAGACCCCTTTCTCTACATATATATATAGAAAATGTTCTCATATTAGATGGTGCCGATGATTGCACAATTCTGTGAATATACTAAGAACCAGTGTATATTCTCTTTATTTTATTTCATTTTATTTTAGAGACAGGGTCTCACTGTCACCCAGGCTGGAGTGAAGTGGTGCAATTTTGGTTCATGGCAACTTCTATCTCCTAGGCTCAAGCGATTCTCCTGCCTCAGCCTCCCGAGTACCTGGGATCACAAGCACGCACCACTACCTGGATATTTTTTGTATCTTTAATAGAGACAGAGTTTCGCCATGTTGGCCAGGCTGGTCTTGAACTCATGACCTCAGGTGACCCACACCCCCCACCCCACCCCCTCGGCCTCCCAAAGTGCTGGGATTACAGGCGTGAGCCACCGCGCCGGGCCCAGTGCACATTTTAAATGGGTGAATTACATAGTGTGTTAATTATAACTTAGTAAAGCTGCTGAAAAAAAAAAAAAAGATAAAAAAGTGAGGTAGATTAAAGGGTCCATGGAGGAAGCCGCCTGGCCCCCGGCCCAGCCTCCTTCTCGGCTCTTCCTCTCTGGGGACCCCACAGGGCTGTGCGTTTGACAGGCAGTTGGGAGACCCCGGTGGCCGGTTTTGGTCGGTCACGTGGACACGTGGCTCAGCCAATCAGAATCTCCCGGCAGTTGGTTCCCGGAGGAACTGACGAAGCTTTTGTCTCAGGGTCCCCGTCTTGGGGAGTCGGGACTATTGGGTCACCGTGTGTAGTCGGGAATTTAGACTGGGCTGTCTTAGTCACTCAGGGGGCAGTTGGTGGTCAGGGAGGTGACCCGTGGTCAGCAGGGTCAGGACACCCAGGGGCAAAAGGTGCTCCTGCACCGGGCCCTGGAGGACAGACCGGTGCGGACTCGGTGTTGGTGGGGGAGCCTCCGCGGATGGGGAGTCACCACCTGCCGGGTAAGAGGGGACTCGACACAGGGGCCAGAGCAGGACAAGCGCTCCCTCCCGGCTCAGGCCGGGTCTCAGGCTGGACCCCTCCCTGTCCCACAGGGCTGGCCTCCTTCGGAGCTGGCTGGGGATAGACCAGGATGGAAAGGGGAAGTAGGAGGAACTCAGAACACGGGGATTGGGGCCGATCCTGGGGTCTGAGCTGTGGGGTGAGGAAAGGATCACCTGTCCCCTGGGGAATGAGGATGTCACCCAGCCGTGGCCGATGCTGGGGGTCATGATCTGAACCTTGACAGGTTACCCCAGGGCTGCCTTCCTGTTCTCCTGGGCTGTCAGAGAGACTCCCTGCTCTGTTTTGTTTTTAAGTGACCAGAGACAGACATGTAACATAGAAAACGCTATCACTTTGATCATTTGTTTCAAATGGAAGAAAAACCGACACAATTGGGTTTCTGATGGGAAGCGCTTCCCTCCAACTCCAGGAACTCCATTAAGGAGTTAAGAAAGCAAAGTCCTGTCAGCAGACAGAGACATACTGGGCAGTGGTGACCTGGGAGCCACCCCAGGACATGGAGATCTCCAGCTCTACCCTCTGTGCAGGGAGATTCCTTTCGGAAAAAATCTCAGGGCAGAGTGGGAGAGTGTAGGGGCCAGTCACAAACAGGCTTGCTGCTAGGACCCCTAAGCCATGGGCAGGGTGGGTACAGTGACCAGGGCCAGGAAACTTACAGGCCCACGAAAGAGTGTCAATTTCTTTCAAAGTCAGGAGAAAAAAAAATTTAACTATATGAAATTAATATACTTAACCATTATTCCAGTAAGTCATAAAATCAAACTTCAAACTTTTTGGGGGCGGGGGACGGAGTCTTGCTCTGTCACCAGACTGGAGTGCAGTGGCACCATTTCAGCTCACTGCAACCTCCTCCTCCTGGGTTCAAGCCATTCTTCTGCCTCAGCCTCCCCAGTAGCTGGGATGACAGCCGCCACCACCACGCCTGGCTACTTTTCTGTATTTTAGTAGAAATGGGGTTTCACCATGTTGGTCGAGATGGTCTCGATCTCCTGACCTCGTAATCTGCCCACCTTGGCCTCCCAAAGTGCTGGGATTACAGGCGTGAGCCACCGCACCCAGAAAACTTCAAACTTTTTAATGAAACTAGGACACACAGGCATTAATCCCCAGTGTCCATCAAGGTGGCAATGCAGCCCTAATGGCCTGGCATCCTTGAAAGGGACGTGCGTTTGGTAATGAGATATGCTCAGCAGCGTAGTCAGCTGTGTGGTGCATTCTCAGCGGTGCCTCAGCAGCTCCGATGCAGACACCCAGAAGGAGCACAGCCGCTTTATCCAGAGGTGAAGTTTTGCGGCAAGACGGCATTCACAGAGACAGTTCTCAGCAAACATCAGTCCCCAAAAAGGGAACTGATTATATTATGGTCATTAGGATATTCACTCATAGAGAACAGGACCTGACAGACAAGGCAAAGAGTAAATACTAAGATTAGACTAGATGTATTTGGCACATTTGGGACGAGAGGGAGGCACAATGGGAAAGTGTTGAGTTGAAATCAAACTTGAGTTAAATGTGCTGTTTTGCCCAGGATCATTCTTGGCCACAGGTCAAAGTGATCCTGGGAAATTGGACCCCCCAAGGCAAAAAGAGAAGGCCATCTCCTGCACTTCCTCCAGGGCCGTACCTGATCAGAAGAATCACTTGGGCACTCAGTTAACTGGAGGTGTTTGCTGAGCAGGTACACAACACACAAGGATACAAGCAGCCATTGCACACAGACACACCCACATCGGACACGACCTGCTCTCTTCCCCTCCCTGCACCAAGAGGCGCGTGTGGCAGGGGTCCTGGTGGAGCACTTCCAGGAGGAGTGTTCTGGGACCCTCATGTGAAGGGAACTCCATGTCAAGGCACCCCCTTCCTCAGCCACAATGAGCTCTTGGGAGCTGGGCAATGGTGTGGGAGAGGTTGTGGGGATAGCAAAGCAGGGGAACCAGCCTGGAATTGTCTCAGAGAAAGACCAGGCCACTAAGAGTACAGATGGAGCCATGAGACATCCGAGGAGGGAGGAGAGAAGACCCCCTGGTGAAACGGGCTCACGTAAACCTGCATCAAGCGCTGTGGCTCTGTTCAATCAGAAATGCTGCCCACACCCAAGTGAGGCACATGCATGCTCAACACCTGAAAAATATCTGTTCTGATTTGGGCCTCAGGAGAAGAGTTAATGTCTCCTTCATCTTTCCCTCTAGCAATCAGCCATGACTGCCTTTGCATTGTCCGTGCTCTCAGCCTACCGCCTCCTCCCCCTGCCATTGCAGTGGCTAACACTGGGGAAGAAGACCAAGACACCGCAGCCTTCCTCCAATCCCTCTCAAATCAGCACGGACAAGGACACAGGTCTCAATCCACAACTGCTGCAGATGGACCCTGGCCACATGGGATGGTCAGACACGCCTGCCCAGCTGTCTGCAGGCAAAGAGGCTCAGAAGAGGTTTGGGGGCCTGAAGGACATCTTGCTCCCACGTGCCTATGGGCGGGCTATTTCTGCTCCATGAGCCAATTTTGCCACCTAAAGGACTTAATTTCAGCCATTCCAGGGTGCTACAGGATGCACAGCTTCCCATCAGCCCATCTGAACTCCAGCCATGCCAATTTGATACCAGGAGTAAGGTCACTTGCTTTCCTGCCCCTTAGGGGACCAGAGCAAATGGAAGCAAAATGGCACTTCTGTTTACCTGTTATATAATTTTTTTGTAACCTTCATATGTTTGAAAAATGCAATTATATGAAAAAAAGTTTAGTAATTACAGACATAACAGCAGAAAGACCTCGGAACCAAGCTTCTCATGGCCGATTCTGCTCCACCTGGGACTCTGGGTGCTGCAGGCATCCTGTGGTCAGAATCACAGAGGGATCATCAGGGAGGGCCTTCCCAGAGGATGGACCTCACGTGACTGCTGCCTGAGCGAGTGGCACTGGCCACTCTGCCTGGAGAGAGGAGTAAATACAGGGCTGGCCAGTAGACCTGCACACTCTGCTACCAGCCTTGTCCATGTTTAGCCTCTAATTTGAAAATGAGGAACACACAGACCAAGAGTATCTTTGAGGGTTAGTCGGGACCACAGAAATGCCCTGGGCCTTTCAATCTCTCCTTTTGCAAATTCCCAGGTATGGAATTGCCGTTTGGATAGAGGGAGCCTGCAGGAGGTGGACACATGAGCGGCCCTGACAAGGCTGACTCCATCCTCTGAAAATGGGGACCCGTGCCCGGCGTGTGGCCTTACTGGTTCAGTCTTCTTCACAGTGGGAGGTTTTGAGTGCCCAGATGCCCAGTGCCTCCTAACTGGAACAGGACAGGACCGGGCTGACCCCTGGAAGAATCCCATGCACACTTGGCTGTTCAGGGAGTTTCCGCCCAGCCAAGCTCACCTCTGTGGCTACCCTGGTCTTGCTGCTCATATCTGCCAGGAAAGGCCTGGACTTGGAGAGAAACCTGGGATTTGGATTCAGTCCTTGCCGGCCTGGCTGGTTTCATATCCTTACCTCTATCTGTGGAAGCCTATGTTCCTGAGCAGCGAGGCAGAGGGGGCATCTGAGCGCAGAGCAGGGAGCCTCAGATGGGAAGAAGTCAGAGGAACCAGAAGGTGTCAGAGAATGTGGAGTCGAGTGCCTGAGCTCAAAGGCAAGCTGGGCCACAGACTGGCTGTGTGATCTTGGGCAAGTTCGACCAGCTTCTTTGTGCCTCTTTTCTCTCCTTAGTAAGATCAGTGTCTTCACTAATACACTGAGGGCTGCCATTAAGTTCTATATGCAAAGATCCAAGGCAGGCCCTAGGCCTCTTGGTGAGTGCTACTCCTCCTTACAATTTGCTGTCAGAAGTAACATTGGGTGAGAGAACTTCTCAGAGCCTTGGCAGTCCTTGTCCTCCTGGACCCTCTGTTTTGAGGGTGGAATGAGGTGAAGGGCAAGTGCTTTCCCAGCTGGTCAGGTGCTCTACCAACTGGGCATATTCTAATCCCCCAAGAGTGTACAGATCAGAGTTTGATATGGCCAATGGGTCCAATGCCCAAGTGAGAATCTCTTGATGAAGCTATTGGTGTGGGGTTTTGCTTTGGTTTTTAATTATAGAGAACAAAAGTATTGAAACTATTACATTTACCCTAAAGTTGTAGGCAAGTTATGGTCAAGTGAAGATGAAGACCCATCCTCAAACACAGGTTCCGTTCTTAGCTCATCTCATTTAAAGGAGAGACAAGCCTTGCAGGTGGAACATGGTGTGGGTAGACAGTAGACAGGGGTTCAGCCAATTTCAGTGTTGGCCTCAAGAAATGAATTTGGGTTTGAGGACCTCTCTCTGGAAGGATTTTATGACCAGATCTTCCTGGAGATGATATTATAAGCGTTTCTCACCAAATATTTATTTTTCTGGGGTGCAACTTCTGCTTCATTCTCTCTTTAACTCCAGCTGTCTTTTTGGACTCAGGGGCAGGTTGCTCACAGGGTCCTACAAAGTAACTGTCTTCCCAAATCTCACCCACCTCTGAGCTTCTGCTGTATTCCTCTTTCTCTCTCGCTGTCTTTTTTTTTTTGAACTGGAATCTACTACTTTGGATGATGCATGCTGGTGTTTTCTAAAGTTTCCTGATTATGTCTTTAACAAATAATCCGATAATATTTTAGCTTCTTCTTGAATTTTGTGGCATATTTTTAGGCATCGGCTAAACCCATTTTTGAGTGCTATGACATTGTTCATGTATGACATTGTTCATGTATGACATTGTTCATGTATGACATGGTGCCAATAGAAACAAAATATTGTCATATAGGCTCCCCGAAAACTTCAGCCAAATCTGGTCCAGATCTTAGACTCTGACAGGTTCTGCTGTCATTGGACCTCAGTGAGACCTTTGCACCCATTTCCTCCCTTTGTGATTCATCCACAGACATCTCCATCTCTTTGAGAACAATCTCAGGAATATTCCTTGCCTTCTTTCGGCTCTCACTCCATCTCATTTCCTGCTGTTCACTCGGGAATAAAGAAATGTCCCACACTTTAAAGAGTGAAAACAAAAATTGGAGCTCAGAGAGGGTGGACTTGTCAATATCACACACAGCGGGGAGTGTGGTAAGTCCTTGAAATGGGGCTCAGTGACACCGCTACCTCCCAGGGATTCCTAATGTCTGAGGGTTCCAGTGAGCTGAGATGAACCCAGGGCCTAAGAAGCACTGTCTGACCTCGTCACCTCCGAAGCCCCACCCAGTGCGCATGGCCTGAGGCGTCCATGGTGATGGTAAAGAAACCTCACCTGCCATCTCTCCCATTACTGCCGTGTCTCCTTTCATCTTATTCTGTGCTAAATGTCCAGATGCGATCAATAGAATCAGGAGAAAATTGAGGCCTGAGGGGAGGGGCCAGACTCTGGGAGTAGAGAGTGGATTGAAGTCAGACTAGGGGCTGTTCAGCAAAGAGTCCAGGGCCTTCAAATGTTGAGCACTTGGCAGCAATGCCAAGGGGAATGGGGGGGATTTGGGTCTAAGTTTATGTTCGAAGAACGTAAGCATGATTTGGAGGCTCCTGATGTTCATATGTCCCCATCAAGCATAGCTAGGAGTCACCAGAAGAGAGAATGGTGCTAGAAGTTCATGTGAGAACAGGGCAGACCCTGCATAAATGTGGGATCTCCCTGTTTGAATCAAAGCCCAAACACTGTGGCAGGGACACTCCCAAGGAACTCAAACATGTATTTTATCAGGGCTTTAACATAAGGAATATTCTTAAGAAAATCGGCAACATATGAGAATCTAATTTAGTCTGAGATGCTATACACCTGGAAGAATAGGTTAACTGTCAAATTATTACCAAATTGTTGCAAAAAATTGCCAATGAAGCAATCATACAAAGGTCAGGTAACAGAGTAGGTGGCCATCACTCTGGGAGAAGGAGATAGCACCGGCAAATGAGACAGCAAATGGCAAAGAAGGGGACAGTTGCTGTTTTCTGAAGTAAAGCCTCTTAGGTGTTATTTGACCATTTGTTACCTGCGAATGTATAACTTTGATTTTTAAAATAAATAGAAAAGAGCCTCTTTCCTAACACCAACCAATCTCTGAGCCCTACAGATGGTATTCTGCTTTCTTGCAGGAGGTTTTGGTCCCACCCGCCTGCCCCCTTCTAGGACAACCCCACCAGCAAGTAGGTCTTTTAGTTCTTTATGTGTGTTCGCCTGCTGGTCCTGGCTTGGGCCCCAGGGAGCCCAGGAACCTCTGGGTTCTCTCAGCTGCACTTCCATCCATGGTGCCCAGCCTCAGTACCTAGGACTCTGTGTGCCTGACCTCCTCCAGGTGGGGCTGCTCCTTCCAGGTGTCCACCTGGTATGGGCCTCCCCTGGCAGCTCTCCTCTGATGACCAAGTGTGGTGGGGGTGCTAAGGCCAACTTGCTGCTGGCACGCCCGGAA